CACGAGGAAACACAAAAAGAAAAGTTGGAAAAAAATAGCGTTTGAGATGCATGCGCGAGAGAGTGCGTGTGGGAATAAAGTGAAACGTTTGATAATAGTAAAACACTCTAGAGCGTCTGACTCACGACTATTTTTCTGCTCGTCGTTTGGTTTGGTATGCGATGACGTTTGTGTGACTCAATCGCAACTTGCCGTACCAAAAGTCTTGCCGTACTTCCTCTTCAATTACTAAAATACCCATTTCCTAATGTCATCTTAATTATCTTTAAAACATTTTAAACATCGGAAGAGTTCTAAACTTTCGGTCCATAATTTATATCGACTACATATCAAAACCATAGTTGTTTTGAGCCACGTTCAAAGCAAATAAGCTAATCCCCTCTGATCCGTCCATAGTTTTTTGCTGCTAAAAATGGAGCATGGGACATGGTCATGGTACCAACTCCATGTGTATCTTTAATTTTTCTTAGTTAATTACCACCATATATTTATTAACTCCATTTTGAAATATTAAAGAAATCATAGTTACTTGTTGACAAAAATATATTTGTATTGATTATGTTGATATATAGATTATATCAATGATAATAATATTTGTGTTGTGGCAAACGCAGTTGTATTACCATTAACATTGGTTGGTACCTACAACATCAAAAATTTATAAAAATATCTTACATTTTTAGTCGTACCGCTTTTTACATGAATTATATTATTTTATAAATTGTTAACGATTTTTAACAATACGCTTTGAATCGGTCAATTGGATTTTTGCTATATTTAACAAGTTTTTATTATATAACTAACTCACAATAAGTGAAAATGATTTATGTCTCTTATATATTATTTAGATATCTTCTAACTTTTATATGGGAGATTTCTTATAATCTTAAATTTCAGTTGCTACAATATTCTTCTATATAGTTATTAATAAAACTCGAATTCGAATATTTGTTTGTTCTCTGCATGATCGGTTGAGTACAATTATTAACTCGTTTAGCTAAAACAATAATGAAAAATTCATCATCTAGTGTATGACAATCTATATAGAGTTTTTATCTTAAGTAAGTTCACTAACTCATGGCCTAATATATTCTGTTTACATGTCTGTCTCGTTTCTAAGAGGTTGAATATGATGATTAATAAGCAATCAAATGAATAGTCAGTTATTATTTTAGTTTTTTGCTATTTTGTATAGAATAACACGAAACTATTATTGAACTAAAAGGTACTTACTTATTCAGCAAGAGGAAAGGGTAAAACTAGAATTTCAGCTCTCCGTATCACAAAAAAAAAAAAGTCAATGCAAAAAGCTAAGCTAAGTTTTCGCTTATATAAACACGATCAAAACTCATTATTCAACAAAGTCTTCGTTTCATTTTTCATTTTTTCATTTTTCATTTCTCAATCAAAACAAAAAAGTAATCAGTCAAATGGAAAGGGGAAGATCAGAGATGGAGATGATAAACAACATGGCAAATTGCTTGATTCTTCTATCAAAGGCTCATCAAAACGACACCAAAAGCCGTGTTTTCGCGTGCAAGACATGCAACAAGGAGTTCCCGTCGTTTCAAGCCTTGGGAGGTCACCGAGCCAGCCACAGGCGATCGGCAGCGCTTGAAGGCCACGCGCCTCCTTCTCCTAAGAGAGTCAAACCGGTGAAACACGAGTGTCCCATATGCGGTGCTGAGTTCGCGGTAGGGCAAGCCTTGGGTGGTCACATGAGGAAGCATAGAGGTGGATCAGGAGGAGGAGTTGGCCGGAGTTTGGCACCGGCTACAGCACCGGTGACGATGAAGAAATCTGGCGGTGGTAATGGAAAGAGGGTTTTGTGTTTGGACTTGAACTTGACGCCTTTAGAAAACGAAGATTTGAAGTTGGAGCTTGGGAGGTTGATTTTCTGATTTTGTTTTTTCATTTTTTGGGGTGTGTAGGGTAAGTTTATTTTATCTCATATTTTTTTAAATTATTTAGGCTTTTTCAGTAATTTTTGTATAAGAACTTTATGGTATATACCGTTTATGTATAGATACAGATATACATCTTATATTGTTCGAGTTATTATATATATATATATATATAAGTCTGTTTCAGTAATAATCATTTTGTTGAATTCTTTTGGCGTCGCATTGATTACGTAGACATATATAATTTGAATTCTGAAAACAGTAGTTTTGAATTTGGATGATACCATAAACAAATGATACACGTACGTACGTGAGGTTCAGATTCTTAGTTTCAGTTTTTCGGTAGTAGAATCATGTTCCATAGATACTTTCGGTTCTATAAACTAATCGGACATCTTTGTCTAGAAATAGGAGTATAAGACATCTTGGTTTTGTTATCTGTCTATAATTAGACATTTTTGTTTTTTTGTCTATAGCTTGCTAAACACTTTTGGTAACGAAAAAAGAAAGTCATTTACTAAAAATTTCGAGATTTCTTTTCGTTTTAGATATGACTTTTTGGTTTAAAGAAAAGACTGATTAGTATTCAAAAGTTAATTATGGTCATCGTCATATAGAACTGAAATATCCACATATAAAATAAATCCCAATTGAAATGAGCCGATGGTGATAAACATTTATGTGTACGGAAAGACATGATATATAAGAATAAGCAAGTAATTATAAGTTCAGTGGTTTTAGTCATGTGGATTTAGACCAGAGATTGCAGATTATATATAGTCATGTTATAGTCATTTGGTAGACTTATTCTTCTAGCCACTACAAAACCCTTTTGCAGATTTCAAGTATTTATAAGGAGGATGAATATATCTGTGATGAGACGCATCACTTCAATATTTTTGGCATGATCGGACCAATTACAGACGCGATTTTATCAGTAGAGTTTCCTAGAAATTTTCATAGATAAACCAAGTAATTCAAGCATAAGCAATATCAATATAGGTAACATCCTAGCTAGATATATAGGCGATAATAAATTGTTTGGAGGTATATATAAGAAGCTATTAGGTTTAGACGACTTACGGCTTCTTTGATAGATAACTAAATTCCCAAAATTGGCAAAAAAACGTAGTGGCAAAATGTCATTAGGTTTTGTGTTTTCCTTGAGGGATTTAAACAAATAATATGATATCAAGTAAATTCAGGTATTAGTAGTAATATATTTTTAGAAATTACACGTGAGAAATCCATGTTGTGAAGTTACAAATTTGCTAAAATATTTTGGTAACAAAAAAAGAACGTCATATATATACTATAAATTTCAAGATTTCTTTTCATTTTCGTTATGACTTTTAGGTTCAAAAAGAAGACTGATTAGTATAGTAGAAAAGGTATGTCATGGTCATGGAAAACAAAAGATCCACATAATTAAAACTAAATCTCAATTAAATGAGTCGTTGGTGATAAAACATATGTGTACCGAAAGACATGATAAGAAGAAGCAAAAGATTGTAGTTTAGTGGTTATAGTCACGTAGTTTAGTGGTTATTGTCATAAAATTGATTGGTGGATTAGTTTAGGCTTCTTCGATCTAGATCTCCGGTTATAGAAATAAATATATAATGACGATAAAAATTGTGTGATGAGAAAATAGCTACCATTTTGTTGAACCAATTGGAATAAATTATTTTATTAGATTAGTTTCCGAGAAGTTTTCGTAGAGAAACCAAGTTTCAACCTAAGCAATCTCAATGATATATATATAGCTTCCTAGGTGGATATATAGGCGATGATTCATGTGAGCAGTGAATAAATTGTTTGGAACGTTGACGTTAATATGTTCAATCTCCATTCTCAACGTTACTGACTCTTCTCGAGAGATTAGCGGTATCTAATAATCTTAGACGTTTTAAAAAAACAAAAAAAAAATCTTAGACGTTTTTATTTGATGTTGGGTTTCTAATTTTTGTTTTGGTTATGTTTCAAAGTTGTACTTGATGCTATTTTACATTTACCTAATAAAATTTATAATCTAAAAAGACTTTGTTGAACTTACTCAATCAAAAATCCTTATAGTAAATACAGTCTTTACAAATTCAGGTATATAGTTATTTAATTTATTTATAAATTATGTTTAAAGTGGTTAGTTTATCTTTGGCCTTGTAATTGAATTTCGAAATATAAGTTCTTCAAACACTAAGAGCTTGAATAGTTTCGACTTGTGACAGATGCTATATAGACTAAGTACTAGCTTGTGGACTACATCGTTTATATTATCATTCACAACATAAATTTTATATGTAATTAAACTATGCAAGAAATAAAAAAAATCTTATATAAGAAAACAAAGATATATCGTAAAGCCCAAACTGAAAAAGGACTTCTGAGTTTGTAAAGATAAGACCTATTAGAAAGTTATGGAAGCAATTGATAATGAGATATAACGATAATTCTTTGATGAATGCGTCCGGTCCAATATAGATTTTTAAACTGAATAGTCTTCAACCGATTTTCAGAACAATCATTTTCACCTTAGTCACTAATGGCGCCGGTCTCATGTCAACTAAATTAATGGTTGGAAACGATTACCTAAATATGTTTTGGGAATCCGATCTAATTAACTAGATATGTTTTAATTTGTGATGTATGAGTTTTTGAGCTTTCTTGGTGAAGAAGATGGTAATGATGTATCATGTATGAATTTATGTCATTATCTTCTTATTTTTTTTTAATAAATAAGTATTAGTTTCTTCGGCTAAATTAGTCATACACAAGAGATCGATCATCAAGCTTGTAAGGTCAACTGCTAGTTGAATCGGTGATTCAGAGTTATTCACAATAGCCGCCTCCAGGCCCTCCACTAGCTAGTATTCAACAAATCTATAAAATCATATTACCAAATTATGAGGTATTCAACAAAAAAAAAAAGCATTATAACATAAATCCAAAATTTCCCGAAAGTTGGTAGAAACTAGAGAGTAAACTTCACTGGAGAAGCTATGAACTTTTGCCTCCAGACTTTGTTCTTTTATACTCGATATATGCTTCACTAATAACCAAAATAAGCACGCTTATTACATTGAATTCAGTCCAGAGTTTAATTTTAACTAGAAACAAAGTCATGGTATTTTTTGGTAGCCGAGACTAGGATTCGGCCCAATATCAACTTGATGGATTGCTTTTTCAACGAGTCAGTTCAAGATAGGATTAGTCAGACTTGTATGTGATGTCGGATGGTTGTGTTGGTATGGCCCTTGCAAAGCAATTTGAAGATTGTTCTCTCCAATCCGATGTCGACTTAGATGTACTTAGTAAAAAAAGAAAAAGTAAGGAATACATACAGCCAGAAACTAAGAACTTGTGGGTAATGGTAGTGAAAGGATTAACAATTGTGTAGCCATTAACTAATTCAGAGAGAAAGAGTTTCTAAACTAATGTTGCAGCATGTCGCTCAAGACTAAAGGCTTATCTTGCGGAAGGAAGATGCTTTGTTTAGGTAGATGCGGTTACTAAGAAAAACATGTAACTTAGTTAAGCTAGATTAAGGGTTTGAGGTATATTATTTTTCACCTTAATTCAAAGATTGTGATGTGTCAAGTCATGAATGTGGGAACATGCCGTTCTTTTCTTATAGGTACAGTTGGCAACAAGTCCATTGCTTTTTTTTTTTTTTTTTTTTATTGCTCTTATTAAATCGTGTTATATGAATTGTTAAAATCTCGTATATGTTCGAATTTGTTACCGACAAGAAGTATGCAATAGAATTCGACTTTGGCTTTTGTATTAAGGATCATCACACACAGATTTTTTGATGTCTTTATGATTAGATCAAACAGCGTGCGAAAGAGGAGGAACTAAGCACCGACTCCGATGATAAAAAGAGCACCGGATCTGAGACGATGGCAAACAAATCTCCGATATCCAGTCTAAAAATAAAGGTTATTCTATAGAGATCTCCAGTTTTGTTATGTTTATGTTGATTGTAGTTGCTTAATCTGTTTTGATGTCTTTATGATTTGATCAACCAGCGTGCGAAGGAGGAGGAACTGAGCACCGACTCCGGATCTGAGATTCTCACCATAGAGTATGAGAAACTGAGCCTAACCAGCTCAATCAAGAGTGAATCTGACAAGGTAGGTGGTACGTCTGCGACTATTAGTAAGTCTGCGACTTTGAATGAAATTATTCGGTTTTTTATGTTTTTTATTTTGGGAATAAGACTATAATTTAACCAAATAAAAATTCTTTGGTTATTTTGGCTATGGAGACCAAAGGTATGCGCTCTTTTAGCCTCATTCTCGTAACTTTTTTAGCATGAATTATTGTTAAGCTCGCATGTTAGGCTTGCTTAAAAACATGACATTTGAGATAGTAACAATTTTAGTAAATTTGTTCATAAAACGCACAACTTCTCATAGTCACTGTCACATCGATCTGGTGCCGAACAAGGTCTATATCAACTTTGATCTTTTTTTAGTTTTAGTCGCAACGACTGTTTCAATTTTGGATGAAGGCAAACTATCAATCGCTAAAAAAATCAGCGACGTCTTTTCCGGAACGAGCGACTGTGATTCTCATCTTCAGCAATATTCATATATAAACTAGGTGAATATGTTCATTGTTCATATTGTTATAAAAAATATTTTAAGAAATCATGTTCATTGTTCATATTGTTATAAAAATATTTTAAGAAATCATGTTCATCGTTCATATTGTTAATTTTTGTTCATTTTGTGTGTTATTATATAGTTAGTAAAATTAAATACATCTTATGTAGTTACAATTTTTATAATTAGATTCATTTTTGATTCGAAATAACAATATATACTTTTTTATCTATAAATATGATTATTTATATACCTAATTAATTAAGATCCTAATATTTTTTTCAATATCATGAATACATACAACAACAATATATGCTATTTTAATAATTATGTCACTTGTGTAATTTGATATTTGCCTAACTTTATTATAAACAGATAATTCTGTATTTTATGTACTATCATGATCTAGTACTTCAGCCACATCGTGATAAACTCATGATTTAATACTGGAATGCCATAATTTGAACAAGTATAACTAACTACTTATTTGCTTCAAGAGTTTTCATATACGAAGAAGAAAAACAAAGCAAAAAATAGAAGAGATATTTAACTTAACACTTTTAGATCTATGCCTTTGCATATAGTCATATAAGAAAGAGTTTCGTGTCCTGAATTCTTTGGTATGTCTAACGTTTTAAAGATTCATTACTTGAAAAATACTTGCATGTCAATATTATCGACAAACGTCATATATAAACCATCAAACATAGTTATGAGAAATGACTCAAAGAATTACTAAACTAATAAAAAATTAAATAACAAATAGTTAAACTGCTAAGTAAGTAAATTTTTAGCTATTATCGAGTAATGATCATTGATAAAAAAAAATTCTAAAATAAAAAGTGTAGAATGAAAGTAATGCTTGACATATTAACATAATTTTGTATTTTTTTTTTTTGAAGAAATTAATTAAGAGTAGAGTGATAGAGGATTTAATGTAACGGAGGACTTTTGATTTTTCTCATTTACTTTTGTTAATTTTAATTTAAATAATTTAAAATTACACATCTTTTTATGTGTGATGATGTAGCATTCATATGAAGAGAGTTGGTCAACTTTCATCGTTATATTATCATCCAAATTTAAATCCGATATAATTTGTATTATTTAAAACTACAGTTTCTACTGTAATAATATTTACCAATAAGTTTTAATATTTTTCTAATTAAAATTCTTATTATAGCCAAAATCTCAAATTTCACAACTATAAATCTATAATCTCTAGCCGTCGTTACCAATCGTATAAAAAACTTAGTACCATTACCTTTGTTATTATGTTTTTTCCATTATTAAGTAAATAAAATCAGTATTCTTAACATAACTCCACGTCAGCAATCTAACGCCTTCTCAACTTAAAAGAAAAACACTTATCTATCATCACCTCTCAACCGTTGATTAAGATATTTAATATCCTCAATCCAACAAACAAAAAATCTCCACGTCATCAATCCTCGTCAAGTCATATCCTCCAATCAAATCCATTACTTCCCTTCTTATTTCTTAATATCTTTCACCGCTTCTTCATCATCTTCATCATCACCAATCACAAAAACCCAAAGGCAAAAACTTTCCCGAGAAAAACTCAAAAATGGCACCAAAAGCCGGAAAGAAACCAGCAGAGAAGAAACTCTCCGCGGCAGAGAAAGCTCCAGCAGTAGAAGAAGAGAAAGTAGCCGAAAAAGCACCAGCAGAGAAGAAACCAAAAGCCGGAAAAAAGCTACCAAAAGAAGCCGTCACCGGAGGAGTCGACAAGAAGAAGAAACGAGTCAAGAAAAGCACAGAAACATACAAGATCTATATCTTCAAGGTGTTGAAACAAGTTCATCCAGATATTGGAATCTCAAGCAAAGCTATGGGGATTATGAACAGTTTTATCAATGATATATTCGAGAAACTTGCGCAAGAAGCTTCGAAATTAGCTAGGTATAATAAGAAACCTACGATTACTTCTAGGGAGATTCAGACAGCTGTTAGACTTGTTTTGCCTGGTGAACTTGCTAAGCATGCTGTTTCTGAAGGAACTAAAGCTGTTACTAAGTTTACTAGCTCTTAGGGTTTGTGGGTTTTGTGTTTAGGTTTCAGATCTTGGTTTCTTTTGGTATGTAATCTGATGGGTTTATGTTCTTTTTTGTTTAGTTTATATTAATGTCTCTTTTGAAGTAAGATTATGAATGTTGATCTCTGTATTTTGTGTTTAATGACTTTGAATATTGTCAAACTTGGTTTGGTGTTCTACAAGAAGTTTGATTTTTTATGGATGGTTATGGAAATTTATGGATTTTTTTGTATGATTTTGTATGATGAAGTTCTGATTTTACTAGATTGAATTGTTGTTATTTAATGTGAAAAACTCATGTTTGGTTACTTACGAGTTGTGAACTACTCTTGAGCTTGATTTTTGGACTTTCATGCTAGTGATTCAAAGCGTCAAACCCTTGTGTGGATTTTGGCAGTTTCTTGTGAAGTGTTTTTAGAGTATTGCATCATTTTTATACCTTGAATACAATGCCGAAACCTCCCTTTCCCAGGTTATTTGAGAGGGAGAAGTTGTGAGCAAGGCTTCCCAGACTATAGGGGAAGGAAGTAACCTAGTTCAACAAGATACCACTCTGATGTAAAGATCATGGCCATCGTCTGCATAAGTCCGGTGCAGATCCATTCACCCTTGGCATTGCTACAGCCCTAAAATGTACATATATGACAACTTCATATTCCTCAACAACAAGAACCCTATTTTTGAATAGGATGGCATTTTCATCTTCACTTGACATCCAACAGACCAACACTATATGTCTCCATGTGTGGCTTGTTCCCTCTGATACACTTACTTTTATCTCTTTGCTTGGTGAATTTATTTTGATAGATTAGGTAAGAGTTGACTCTTGTATTGAATGTTTATTTTCTGTTTTGTGATAAATGCATGTTAGATGTTAATAATTTTCTGAATTGGAATTATCTATATGTTTTATAAATTTTAAAATGTTAATAATTTTAATTTTAATATTATAATTTTTTAAAAAAAATCTTAAAAGGACTCCACTTTGAATTCTTCCATATGAGTATGAAAATTTTAAAATCTCATACACAAACTCTTATCCTAAATATTAATATATTTTATATTAAAACAAATGGTAAGAACGCATGAGGGGTTCTTACTATTGGAGATGGTCTTAGAAGGTGTGAATGGTGACATATGTTAAGATTGATTTAATTTGAATGATAGATGCAACTTATAGTTAACTCAACAATGTTATTAGTTATGAACCAAATTAATTAATAATAGTTTCAATAATAATATATTATTACAACTCTATAAGTAAATTATAACTAATGTAATATTTGAAGAAAACAAAGATATTCGTGCAAAAATAAAGAAAAAAGCTATAAAATAAGCAAAACATAAGAAAATTTTAAGTTACATATAATAGAACCTAAACAGGCAAATTTGAGCAATTAAATTAAAAAGAATGATTAATTACCAATTACACTAAAATAACATAGCAATACGAAAAATTATCAGTTTGGATATCTTTTTTTATGTTAACAAGCTCATGGACTGTATGTAAGATTATTCAACGAATTTTCCGTGGAATATTTCCATTCATTAAATTCTAATAATTGCTCCGGACTTGTTAATCTATATATATAATGGGAGAGTCTTCTCTCCATCTACGCTATCCACATCATCATCCACCTAAGCATGCATCTAAATAAAAATTTAAAAATATAATCTATTTAAAATGTTCATTCAATACATACTTAATTTTATTTATTGTTATTTATGATTATAAATACTTAAGTTGAATACAAATAAATATATAGTGAATTAGTGATGAATCTTATGACATATTACTAATTAAAATAATAGTTGATTAGTTTATAAATGACAGTAAACTAAATGTCAAAATATAGCTAAATAGTATCGTGTACAATAATTGAAAACAAAATTAAAATATAATATAATTATGTATACTTTTAATTTTTTTAGCTTATCATAAATATAATATAAAATTTTATATAAGTAAATGTATAAATGCATTTGATAGTAATACAAACATTATGCACTTATTTTAAAAATAAAAGTATGCATTATAAAAATATAAAAAGATTATTTTAAAAATATCGAAAAGAATAGAAAGAGCACAATTGCAACATTGGATTGAATAAGATAGAAATAAAAAAATATAAAAAAATAATAGAATATGAAAATATCGGAACTAAGTGACAAAAAAAAAGAACAAAGTGACAAAATTAGTCTCAGAAAGCTAAATTCCTAAAGAGAAAGCCAATATATAAAATAATATATAATATATCTTTTATTTTTGCTTCTAAATAAAATAGATATAAATTTGGAAAAAATAAAACACATTTAAAATTTCACACTTGAGTTTCTAGAATTATAGAGAACATGTTATGCATAAGAATTCATGTACTAAAAAGAGAATATATATAATGAACAGTCATAGAATTCATGTATCCTATGACTCATAGGATACGAAGTCAAATACAAAAAAAAAACGTTTAATATATGTAATATATTATAAATAGACATGTAAATATATACAATTATCACTTATAAGATTCTATTATATTTATATAACCGTTTTTTTATCAATAGAATATCATATAGTTTTCAAATAGTATTGCAATAAAAAAATATTTAAAATAATATTATTTACAAAAACAATTGAGTATATATTACTAAAACCACGCAACGCATGGGTCCATTTCTAGTTAGTCTATGTTTAAAAAATTTAAATTCAACTTAGTCCACTTCTAAGACTAATCATGATTAATCTCACTTGTGAAACAAAAGTTAAGTAGTGTTATATTACTTGAAGTAAGTATTATGATTGTTAGAAGGTGTGAATGATGACATGTGTTAGGATTGATTTAACTGGAATTATAAATGTAAAACATGGTTCACTTAACAATGTTATTAATTATGAACCAATTTTAAATTTTAAAATAAATTTAAGTTTTGAGTTTAGTTGAGTTATGGCTAATTTATGATAAACTAAAACTTAACTCAAAAACATTGAAAAAAAATATAAAGAGTTATGATGTGTTAAGTTGATTGATTTATTTAGACTTTTTATATATAAAAAAGGTTTCCTAAAGAAGAGTAAGGGCTTTGTTTGTTCCTATGTCTCTATTTCTGGTCTTTTATTTGTCTTGATTTTTTGGTGGGTGATATATTTCCTTTTTATCACTTTGTTTTACTAATCTGTGTCTATTGTAAAGGTTTAGTGTTGGTACCTATGGTACCGTTTTAAGATATATAATCTTTTCAGTGAAAAAGAAAGAAAGAAAGTAAGTGGTGTTATAGTCTATCACCAACTGACTAACCTATTTATTACTACCATATACACTTGATTTAGTCAAAGCCACAAACTTTAAAATCTCATGACTCATTCTCAACCTTTTAGGTCCTATCATATAATCTCTATCATTAGAAACTAGATTACTTCACCGTGGACATTTCTCAGAAAAATTGGTAAAACACCTTCACTTCAACTATTTCGGTGAATTTCAAAAACATGTAAAAAAAAAATCCTAACTTTTTTGTGGGTTTTTAAACCCTAACATTTTAAAAAATGGTAAAATAACCACTAATCTTATTAATAAACCAAATAAATTCCAGATAAACTATTATATTAAAACAAAAACAAATAGATAAAACAACTTAATTTGTAATTTATTTTTTCAAATTCTAGTTTACAAATTTCAATTCCAAAATTGAGTTTTTTACGAAATAAAAATAAATCAGTTTTGTTGTCATTAAAACTAGTTATGTAAACTATAAAAATGTATAGATTAGCCCATTCGGTTCATTTTTTGTTCGAATTTGTTCTAACTTTTCAAGTTTTGAATTTAAAATGGGCCAAAATTATTAACATATTTTTTTCTAAAATAGTGTGATCCGACCAAATAATATTAATTAACAAAATCATATTCAGCTTGGTATAAAAGTTTCTATATCCCTCTTACTATTTCAAAATTAGTTTAGTTTCACGTTGATAAATTTATATAACCCAACCGAATTAATCTTGATTAATTGTTATTTTCAATTATTATATAAAATTAATTAAAAAAATCATATATAACATAAAATACTTACTTTTATCCAAAATTGAATGAAACCTAAACTCCACCCGAAATAAATTTTGGATATATTTTGGATAACAATAAATATGAAACCGATTGTTGAGTTAGTAAATTTAAATTGTTTATATAACTAAAATTCTAATGGTAATGAAATCGTTTTACTGTATCTCAACTAGATTTGAAATAACAATTTTATATATAAAAAGTACATGAAAACTAAAAAACTTCAATTCGGAGAAAATTGAAAAATAGAGTTTACTAAAAAAGAATCTTAAACCAAATTATATTTATTTATTTAAACTTTAGCATAATGGTTTGTTTGATTTTAAACTGATTTTATTGATATTAAGTGAGTGTTATTTTACCATTTTTTAAAAGGTGCGGTTTAAAACTCATAAAAAAGTTAAAGATTTTTAACATGTTTTTGGAAAAGGTAAAAGTTTTTTAACCCATTTTTCTCTAGTTAGTTAGTGTTTAATCATTAAAACTCGGTCACTGTAGCTTTAATTAAATTTGTAATAATTTAGATTAATAAAAAGGGCAATCGTAAATTTAAAGAGTTCGTGAAAACGTGTAAGAGCCCTCTCTCCCACTCTTCTTCTCGTCACATTGTATTATCCCAAAAACTCACTCAAAATCTTTTTAACTTCACACACAAAACTAAAACACTTCTATAATTTAATTCTTTCAATGGAACCAATTCTTGAAAAAATCTCAACTCCTTGGCAAGTTCTTGTTCAAACAGCAACATGGACAATACTCCTAATGATCACAGTGTCTTTGGCTTCATTTGCTCCAGAAATGGCGTTTGTGTCGAAAATAAAATCATCTTCCGATGGGTTCGTTAGGATTCCGATGGATTTATCGGGAGAAATGTTGATCTTACCGTCGGAGATGGTGAAGAACTCATCTTTAGACGTTTTTATACCGACGATATTCGCAGGTGTTATGGTCATTGCTTCTGTTTCTTTATTACGATCATGTCTTGGTATTGAAGGTGTTGTAGTAGAAGAAATCGAAGAACAACAATGTTGATAACATTTGCATAATAACAATTTAATTGTAATGGATTTATCAATAAGGGTCCTTAGCTCAGTGGTAGAGCAATTGACTGCAGATCAATAGGTCACCGGTTCGAATCCGGTAGGGCCCTTTCTTTTTTTCTTTTACAAACCATTTTGTTATTTATACTAACCGTTGATATTATTTGATCTGACGGTGCTAAATGTATCGCTACAAATATTTGTTGGATCGATGACGTGGCATTAGATTTATTAGTATTTATCTATTGGAGTATACAAGTTGCACAAATGACAAAACTGTGTATAATTTTCAAAGAAAAATTCTTACATTAGGGAACTACAAAAATGATATTTTGCAAAAAACTAACAACACAATCTTTAAATTTTCTTTTTTAAGTTTAAGTTCATAGATATATTATAAGCCTATAAGTTTATGAATCTTATATATTAATCTCCAAACTTCAAAATACTCACATTTAGTCCATATTCGATCTTCATCACCCCCATTCATAATCCTTTACCATAATAATCATAAATTTAAAATACTTTTAGAGTAATTAGAGTAAATGGTACTATGATTAACCAAAATTAAGACCCGATTACAATACTGCAATTAACCAAACCCTAAAATTTCTTGATCGCAAGACTTAAATCATTATCAAGAACATCAGTTCTGTTCAACCACCAAATCCATAAAGAGTTCTTCCTTGTCTCTTCAAAGCATAAACAACATCCATTGCAGTCACTGTCTTCCTCCTCGCATGCTCTGTATAAGTAACAGCATCTCTAATCACATTCTCGAGAAAGATCTTCAACACACCTCTCGTTTCTTCATAGATCAATCCACTGATTCTCTTCACACCTCCTCTTCGAGCAAGACGACGAATCGCTGGCTTTGTGATTCCTTGAATGTTGTCACGAAGAACTTTTCTGTGTCTCTTCGCTCCTCCTTTGCCTAATCCTTTGCCTCCTTTTCCTCTTCCTGACATTTTTTCTCGAGATTGTTGTTTTCTGATGAGTAGAGAAATTTGATTGATTTATAAAGAAGATGATTTGTGTCGTAAAATGAATCGTGACCGTTCATTTTAATTTTTGATCGAACGGTTTAGATGACGATCCGCGAGAAAGGTTTAGAATAGATATCGATCGTTGATTTTTAATTAATCAACGGTGAGAGATTGGTTTCTTAAGTGATCACGGATCGTGTAGTTTTTGTTTTTGTTTTTTCTCGCTTTTTATTATCGGTTTTCTTTTTCTCCATCTCTGAACCAGTGGGTTAACCGGGCCGGTTAACGATGTTGGGTATCTAGAATGCAACCGATGTCGTTTTGTAGTGCCGAAAACAGAGTCGTTATAAGGTCGTTGAGCTTTTTTATAGTTCTTCTTAATTCTTTGTTTTCTATTTCTAAGCTCTTTCTCTAATCTGTAACATAAAGACACCACTGATGGTGAATTGTGAGATATTGATCTTGCGGAGATGTACATTGAGATCGCGTCGATCTTGAAAAACTCGTAACAATCGTCTGTTCTTGAATGAATCTTCAAACGAATACAATGAGTGATCGGTAACTTCTTTGATCTATTTCGACATAGAATTATCAAGAAATTGAAAAACTTTCCCAGCCAAATTGAGATCAAAACAAAGAACGTATTTGGGAGAGATATTACCACAATCTTGAAGCAACTTGGAACCAGTAGATTTCTTCTTGAATATCATTCAATACTAAGCTCATTAAAGATAAAAACTATGCCCTTCTCCAATGGTTTTGTTTCTGACAAAGTCAATTTAGACAAGCATAATCAATTTTATAATTAAAAAATGATGTTGATTGTCCAAAAAATTTGGTTGTGTCCTTTAACTCTAAAAGAGAAAAAGGTATTCCGCTGCCGGGGTTTGAACCCGTTCATTCATTTGAAATTAACCGATGTGCTACAGCGAATCTTTTGGAAATACATCCATTCGATCAGTATATAAAATTATAAACTATAGAAAAAATAAGTGTGTTCTAACAAGAGGAGAGACTCTTTCAAAACAGAATTGTTCTAAGGTCGCTGAGCTCATAAGCTCTTGGATATCTTTTCTTTAAGTCGTTATTGCTTTCTCTTTGTTTTTATAACTCAAAAGACTCCACTAATAGTTAAGGTGTTGTTCTTGCTGAGATGTACCAGGGATCACATCGATCTTGAAAAACTCGTAAAACGTGTGTCCTTGATTTAATCTCCAAACGAATACCTTAAGTGTTTGTCATAGAATTCTCAACAAGTTGAAAATCTATCCAAATCTTGAAGAATGAACTCAGCATTTCTGTTATAAGATTTCTTTCAACTGCAAAATGATAAGCACAATCTTGATATTAGCTTCATACCATAACTAGAAGCACAAATCTTGAAGAAAGAAACTTGCAGCCAAGAAATTCCTTCATGAATCTCATTCAACACAAAACTCATCAAAGATCAAGACTCTGCTCTTCTCCAATGGTTTTTTCTTGCAAAGTCAACTTGTTTAGGTTTATTGGATTTGTCCTTTACCAAAAGAAAGAAAAAAGTATTCCGCTGCCGGGGGTTGAACCCGGATTTCATCATTTGAAATTAACCTGTGTGCTACAGCGGATCTATTTAACGTATCTCCGATTAACTAGTATATATATATATTAAGAATTAGTATTTTCTACCTATCACGTGTTAAGACCGATCACATATTAAGAGAAAGAGAGGAGAGCCACTAGTTTTGTTGGAGTGTTCTCTTAACAATGTGTGTTCTTGGTTCAATCTTTAAACCAATGGTGTGAGTGATAATAGGACGCTTATTCCATACAAACTCAAAATGCATTTGAGATCAAAACAAAGACCGTATTTGGGAGAGATAAGCACAATCTTGATATTAACTTCATAACGTGGAGAGATAAGCACTATCTTGATATTAACTTCATAACGTAGCTAAAAGTACAAATCTTGAAGCAACTTGGAACCACAAATTTCTTCTTGAATCTCATTCCATAATAAGCTCAATAATGATAAAAACTCTGCCTCGATATATCATATATGATATATCCAATAGTTTCTTCTTAGAAAGTCAACTTAGATAAGCATAATCAATTTTATAATAAAGAATGATGTAGAATATTCAAATATTTTGAATCTGTCCTGACTAAAAGAAAAGGAAAAAAGTATTCCGCTGACGGGGTTTGAACCCAGATTTCATTCATTGAAATTAACCGATGTGCTACAGCGAATCTGTTGAACATATCTCCATTCAATTAGTACATAAACTATAGAAAAATTAGTGTGTACTAACCTTAAGAAGAGGAGAGACTCTAATTTTCTTTGAGTGTTCTGGTTTGGAGCATTTAACAGGTAAGAATGAAGCGATTTCGTTGAATGTAACCCTCAGTAACTAGTCTAAGTCTATAAATAATTAGTATTTTCTACCTATCACATGTTAAGACCGATCGCATATTAAGAGAAAGAGAGGAGAGCCTCTAGTTTTGTTGGAGTGTTCTCTTAGTGTCCTTAATTCAATCTTTAAACCAGTGGTGTGAATAATGGTGTGGTTCTTCGATTGTACAAATTGGTATATACTAGATTCATGAATCAGAAACCGTATAAACCGAAAAACTCGAACCAAAAACTCAGATTGAACACCACTATTTAACTACTATCCGGTTGTTCGATCTAGTTTCAAATGATTACAAGAACTCTGATTTTCATCATTTGGTTTATAATTATGTGATAGTGAAACGACTCATTTTGTCAACTAAGCTCATTAAAGCATCTCATTGATCACATTCTCATAATAAAATTCAAATAGTAAAATACAAAATCAAAATGCAAAAAGAAAGATACAAAAATATGCTCCACGGGTTTCGTGGATTAGTATTTGCTTCGGCTTTGGTTCTACTTTAGTAGCTTCACCTTTAGTTCCCAACCAAGAACTTCTTTAGCTTTGCTTATGTCTTGTTTTCTCTGTTTTGGATCTGTTTTGGATCTGTTTTGGATCATCCCGTGTGTTCTTTACCATCTTTATCTCCACGTCCGGTTTAATAAGCTGCACCAATTCTCATTAATATACATTACTTATTTGTTACATAACTTTAATCACATTTATGCGAAATGAAATTAAAAAAGGATAATAATGCTAACTTCTTGAACCGTCTCAGCGAGCGCAACCATCGTGAATTCACCTGGATAGCGTATGTGTATAATTGTATATCGATCCGGTTTGGTCTCTTGCCAGACGCATTAGACCTTCCATCTACAGAACCAAAGTTGGACTACGTATCATTTTATAATATACGTTTTGGAGTTTGATTGGTAACCCGCAAAATGGTATGAATAATTTGTGTATCTTTTAAATTCTTTGTTTCCTATTTCTAAGTTCTTTCTCTAATCTGTAACACAAAGACTCCACCGAAAGAGAATTGTAAGATGATGTTATTGGCAAGATATACATGAAATCGCATCGATCTTGAATTCTCGTAAAATGTGTGTTCTTGATCCAATCGTCAAACAAATACTATTGAGTGATTGTGAGCTTCTTTGATCTAATTCGACAAAGAATTCTCAACGAGTTTAAACAATTAGGTTATGATAAACACAATCTTGATATTAGCATCAAACCGTGGCTAAAAGTACAAATCTTGAAGCAACTTGGAACCAAAGATTTCTTCTTGAATCTCCAATAGTTTCATCTTAGAAAGTCAACTTAGACAAGCATAATCAATTTTATAATAAAGAATGATGTAAAATGTTCAAATATTTTGAATCTGTCCTTTACCTGACTAAAAGAAAAGGAAAAAAAGTATTCCGCTGCCGGGGTTTGAACCCGGATTTCATTCATTGAAATTAACCGATGTGCTACAGCGGATCTATTGAACATATTTCCATTCAATTAGTACATAAACTATAGACAATTTAGTGTGTACTAACAACCTTAAGAAGAGGAGAGACTCTAATTTTGTTGGAGTGTTCTGGTTTGGAGCATTTAACAGGCAAGGATGGGTGCTTTGGCTAGAGAAGGACACGATGTCGTTGTGAGGCGGTTAGGATTCTTATCATAACTGAAAACAGAATTGTTATAAGGTAGTTGAGCTCAAAAGCTCTTGTATAGCTTCTCTTTAAGTCTTTTTGTTTTCTCTTTTTTCTATAACTCAAAGACTCCAGTAATAGTAAATTATAAGGTGTTATTCTTGCTGAGATGTACATGAGACCGCATCGATCTTGAAAAACTCGTAATAAGTTGAAAACCTATCCAAATTGGAATCAAAACAAAGAAGCACAAATCTTGAAGAATGAATTGCTTTAAGATTTCTTTCAACTGCAAAATGATAGCACAATCTTGGTATTAGCTAATTCATACCATAACTCGAAGCACAAATATTGAAGACAATCTTGAAGAAACTTGCAGCCAATATATTCCTTCATAAATCTTATTCATCACAAAGCTCATCAAAGATTAAAACTCTGCTCTACTCCAATGGTTTTTTTCTTACAAAGTCAACTTAGACAAGCAAAATCAATTTTATTAAAAAAAAATAGAGATATTTTATAGATTTATTTGGTCAGATGTTGAATTGTTTAGATGTATTGGATATGTCCTTTACCTGACTAGAAAGAAAGAACAAAAAAGGTATTCCACTACCGGGGTTTGAACCCGGATTTCATCAGTTGAAATTAACATGTGTGCTACAGCAGATTTGTTGAATGTATCTTCGATCAACTAGTATATAGTCTATATAAAAAATTAGTATTTTCTACCTATCACGTGTTAACCTATTAGGAGAAAGAGAGGCTTTGACCTTAAGCTTTAGAAGAAGATAGACTCTAATTTTTTGTTGTTTTCTCTTAACAATGCGTGTTCTTGGTTCAATCTTTAGTCTTTACACAAGTGGTGTGAGTGACAATGAGGTTGTACAAATTGACATAAACCAGATTCATAAATCAGAAACTCTATAAACCGAAAAACTCGAAAATCCGGATTGACACACTATTAGTTGTTATTCGTGTGATTTTTACAAATGATTTCAATTATTTGGGTACAGTACAGGGAAAACAGTTTGGACTTTTCCAAATTTTACAAGACCAGTGACAACTGACGATGAAATAACTCATTTTGTCCACTAAGCTTAAAACATCTCATTGATTACATTCTCATAGTAATAAAATTCAAGTAGTAACATCACTCCCTAAATGTTCCTCGTTAGGATGCTTATTCCCTACAAACTCAAAATGCAAAGAGAAAGATTAAAAGACATGATCCACATGTTTTGGGGATCAGTATGCGCTTGCTTCGGCTTGGAACCCCGGTATCAAACAAACAAACAAACAAACAAAACGATAAGAACACACAATTCCATGAAATTAAAATAGCAATTATTTTTCTTTCTTTTGTTTTGAAAATAAGCTTCACTTCTTCGAAACACCAAGCCTTAGACGAAAATCTTCTTCCATAAGAGGAAGCCCTTCACGTAGCTTCACCTTTGGTTCCCAACCAAGAACTTCTTTAGCTTTGCTTATGTCTGGTTTTCTCTGTTTTGGATCATCTGGTGTGTTCTCCACCATCTTTATCTCCACGTCCGGTTTAATAAGCTGCACAAATTCTCATTAATATAGATTACTTATTTGTTACACAACTATAATCACATTTATGTGAAATGAAATAACAAAATGACAATGCTAACCTCTTTAACCGTCTCAGCGAGCTCAACCATCGTGAATTCGCCTGGATTGCCTATGTTTATCGGTCCGGTTTGGTCCCCTTCCATCAAACGCATTAGACCTTCCACCTACAAAACCAAAGTTGAATCATGTATGCAATTGGATCTGCATGTTGTTGCCAATCATACTTTTTTAGTGGAATCGCGTTTTTCATTCTTCTTTTTTCCGCGATTCCGTAAGATTAATGCTAGTGAAATTGTGTAACCATCATTTCAGGAGTTTTAAATTTGTATCTCTTATATTCTATTCTGCCATCTTATTTACACATTATTATTTTTATCTTCTATGATTATGCGATTATGCAGAGTTATCAATCAAATATTTTGAATAATGAGTTGCTATATATGATAGAACATACCATGTCTGAAACATAACAGAAACTGCGGGTTTGTGTTCCCGGTTTCTGAACAGTCAGAGCTTCTCCCCTGCAAACCCAAAACGATGTTATCATACAAAGGCTTTAGGATTAGTCTAGGATTCGACTAAAAACTTACCCGGTTATTACAAAAAAAAACATATTCAAGAACTTGATTGAGGTTAGTTTCACCTGAGAGCCTGAGCGATGAAGTTGCTCACGACACGACCATCATCAATGTTCATACGAGGACCATATGTGTTGAATATCCTTGCTATGCGTATCTCTAAATTAATGGCCCCATAATAGTAATAACTAATAAGTAATCAGCCAATAAGCTTAAATCAAAGTTTTCAAGAAAACGGTAATAGAGTGATTAATTTTACCAATCCCATGTTGCCTATGGTAATCAAACATAAGTGTTTCTGCAACACGTTTTCCTTCATCGTAACAACTTCTAACACCTTATAGTCAAACTATTTTGTGTTAGTTAAAAATTTATAAACTGAGTTATTACAAATAATTTATAAATTTATAATGACTTACCGATGGGGTTTACATTTCCCCAATAGCTCTCGGGTTGAGGGTGAACCAAAGGATCACCGTACACTTCAGATGTCGAAGTAAGTAAAATTCTTGCGCCGACTCGCTTAGCTAGTCCTAACATGTTAAGTGTGCCAATCACATTTGTTTTTATCGTCTGCCATTAAAAAGATGAAGATATATATGATCATGACATAAACAATATATATCAGCATTTTTGCGAGTTTTGATTAACGAAATTTAACAAACCTTAACGGGGTTGTATTTGTAGAAAATTGGAGATGCAGGACATGCTAAATGGTAGATTTGATCAACCTCAACTAACAAAGGTTCAGTCACATCTGAAAAATCATAAGGATGAGTATTAACATTGTTCATTTGTTCTGGATAATGAGTATTAATTAAGTTGATTAATCAAGAAGATTTACCATGACGAATGAGCTCAAATCTTGGATGACCAATCCATTTCTTGAGATTGTCTTTTGATCCTGTGAAGTAATTATCCGCAACGATTACTTCATTCTTTTCATTTTGCATCAATTTATCAACGAGATGTGAACCAATGAATCCAGCTCCTCCGGTCACCAATATCCTCATATTTGACTGTATTTTCAAAATCATTCAACAAAATCAATTTCTGACCACGACATGGATCTTAGTGGTTTGTGGTAGTATAGTTGTTGCATCACCAAAGTCTTATAGGTAAGATTGAGATCTATACACAGAGTTTCAACTTTTTTTCCACTTATGACTTTGACTTAAACATAACTAATTGAGTACACTTTAAACTAGAGTAAATACTAAAAACTTTTATTGCATTTAGAACTCAATTGAACAAGAAGTTTAAAGAATATTTTTCCTGAAAAGAAAACAGAACTAACCTGAAAAAACTTGGAATTACGCAGAGGAGACGGCATCGGTGGTGGCTTTGTTGTCGTCGTTCCGTTAGAAGAATTCGTCGCCATTTTCTGCAAATTTGAATCAAATTTAATAAACTCTAATCACAGATTCATGATGAGATTTAGAAAACCATAAAAAAAGAAAAAGAGAGAGATTCATCATAAGATTTTTATAAAGAATACGCATGCATTTACATACACAATCACACGGATTAGAGAATTAATTAACCTGATGATCACTAAGAAGCTTGATGGAAAACAAAAAAAAAAAAAAAACTGTACACAATCACTCTTCTGATCTTGATGACAATAGAAGATTGGAATCAATATTTATACGCATGTAAATTAAAATAATAATCATATGAAACATGAAGATGAGTCCCACAAACACTACAAGAAATATCTACATTGATAGCATAAGAGGATAGCTCATTTTTCGTAACTGCTATGATAGATAACTTTTATTTTTGATTACGATATAATAGCACTAAAATCACGCTAAGTAAGAACATCACCAAATCAGAAGCTAAAATCACTTATTCCGCTAATATTTTGGTGAAAATTTCACTTAAGCGCCAAAAATAATTTCAGATCTAAAACTTTTAAGTGTCATGGTGTATAGCCAAAGCAAATAATAAACTTATTTTCTCTCAATGATAAAACATAAAAAAAAAAAAACCCCAAATCGAAAACCTCTGTCTCTTCAACTCCGACTCCACCACCGTAAAGCTCTTCGCCGACCTCATTTCATGTCCATTCCATCCTTATCCTTCATCCTCCAGCTTGGTTCACATGGTCGATTCCTCCGATACAGATAACACCAATCGGGACACGGATCTAGATCGAGATCGAGAGGCCACCAAGTTTGTTTCTGAATCGTCACGAGGTTTGTTTCATGGTGAGCTAGAGGTCTTCGCTTCTCAGGTATAGAGTTTCTGTTATTTCCTTTCTTGAATCTGTTGTTTTGCGGTTTTGATTCTCAGAATTTCATGAATTCGTGTGAAATATTCTTCCAAATCTGTATCTTGAATTATCGTCATGGTGTTGTAGTACTGAAGTAGAATTATTTTTTGTATCTTCTTAAAGCTTCTCAGACATGTACAAATATTGAATTGGGCTGAATTTTGCAGTGTTTGGGAATAATGTTCCTGGAGAGAAGAAGTATGGTGGTTTCTTTTTCTTTTTCTTCTCTTGCTTCTTCTCTGGCCACAAACTACTCTTTCATGGTAAGATTTGTGAACTAAGAAAATGTCTTTGTCTATTTGTTTTTCTCAGTTATGCAGATTAATTAATCAATCTCTTCTTGGTGTAGGTTCTGAATTCTTACCTCTTGATATTGAGAAAAATCGTAAGCTTACTTTGTCTTAGTTTTGGTATATGTGTAAAAAGGCTACTGCCATGGCTATTAACCGGATTTTGAATCAAACACAGCTTACATGAAAAATCATATGTTGGTTTCATCGGAAATGAGGATTGTTGTTGTTTTGCCTTTGTTATAGGGTGAATGAATCTTTTGACGCTAGAGAAATGGAGTATGTGCGGTTAGTATCCTCTGTTTGTTGGATATATATGGTGAGATCACATTTGTTTTGAACTTGTATTCTTTTGGTAAGTTGTGAAGAAGAGAGAGATGGAACCTTAGGAGTCTCTAGAAGTGACGCAGTCAAGGCTCTCTCCTACTCCGTTTCTTACTTTGCCTCAGTCAGGTTCGTCGAATTCTTTCTCGTAGCTTTCAACTTGTTTATCTTTTAAGAGAATAAGTTTTCGTTGCCTCAGTCAGGTTTGGTTTTATCTCTTAACTTCAGATGGTCCATTGAGCTATAAGTTTTCGTTGCATCAGTCAGGTTTGGTTTGATTGTACACCCCTAGATCTATTGGGTTATATCAATTTCTATCACTCTTTGTCGCTTTAGATCTTATCCCCAAATTCTTCTTCTTCTTAAAAGCTTTTGGGTTAGATTTTGTTAGGTTTTGATTGATTTGGGTTGGATTTATTTCTTAGAAGCTTTTGACCGGAGTGGAGTGGTGTATGTTCTGATGAACCTTTTCATGCCCTTAAGGTGTTCGACGAATTGCCTCATTATTGGCTGGCTTGTTTCTTAATTGTTTTGTGTTGATTTTGGTTTTGTGGTGTTGCTCTTGAACCTTTCAGGTGCTTACGATTCTTGTCACTAACCTATAGAAGAGTAGAGTAGAGTTCTGGTTTATCTTTGATGGGGTTTTGTTTCTTACCGTAAGTGAAGATGTTTCCAACTAGATCTTACTTTTGCATCTTTGGGATGGGTGTTTTTCCCCAGTCTAGAAATAAGTAATTTTCTGCTTAAGTTTTTGTTGGATTTCTTATCTCTTTTCCTTAATTTATGAAAGGTTGTGACTTTAGCAGTTTGATTAAACATATCTAAATGGGTATTGATTTGTTGATAGTTTAGAGAAAAGTCTTTGACTTTTAGCAGTTTCATTGAACAAGTCTATATGTAACTGAGTTTTATTACAATTCATGATTGGATTTCTGATTTTGTTGAAAGAAAGTAATGAGTTTTAAACTTAATTTGGTGCTTGTAGCTCTTCTGTGAAGAAATACTCATTGGATGCTCCTCTACGTCAACCTCTTTTAAGTTATCTCTCCTCAAGCACAAAGCTTTTACTCTAGAGGTTGGTTTGTGATTCATGTATTTTTGTGAGGCTTCTATGAACAGATTTCTGAGGTCATGGAGTTTAGATGTTTCATATTTGTTATGAGGAGTGCACTTATAGTTGTCTCTGCATTCAGATAATTGTGTTCACCAAAAACCCCAATCGAAGGGTACTTGTCTCTATTCAATGATTTCTTATATTTGATTCGTTGGATATTGAGATGTCTTATAGATAACTTGACTGCTTATTACCTTATTCATGGCTGCAGGAAGATGAAAATTAAGAATTTGCAAAGTCTACGGGTATCAAGAGCTTTGTAAGGAACTACTCTCGGAACAACTGTGTACTTGAGTTCGTGAACGTTTATGAGCCAACCATTTGGATGTATCTAGGAAAGCTACGATTTTTCTACCACAGTCGGCTTTGAAATCTATATTTTCTGTTATTAGTAATGTAAGTTAGTATAAGAATTGGTATAATATTATGTATTACTTGTTTTGGGTAATGTAATATTGTTATTGTTTATGTTGATGATTTATGGAATATAAATTTATTGATAAATCTAATTTAATAAATTCTGTAAAATATAAAATAGAAAAATTATATAAATCGAAATAACAAAATAGCAAAATAAGTGTTACGACACAATATAACAAAACATCGATTAAAAATGTTATAAAACAATATAAAGCAACACTAAATATATGCTACAAGAAAGTATTTTAAAACAATTGATTAGTGCTATAATAGAACGGCCTATAATAGCATTCGGAAAAAATGCTATTGTATATGGGAGGTCTACCATAACAGGGGCATAACATAGCGTTTATGAAATCGCTATTAATGACATTTAATAGCTCTTCTCTCATGCTAACAATGTAGATATTTCTTGTAGTGAAAATTTGTTAACTACGCAAAAAATAAAATAAGGCTCGTGGAAACTAAAAAAAAATTCCATACCAGAAAAATCGAAGCTTCAAATGAACGAAAAGTGAGACTACGAAATGCACCAAACCCAATTTTAAGTTGGTCACCAAACGTCGCTTACGAATAAAGTTTAAATAAACAAATGAGAACGTTTTATATCATCAAGAAAGAGAGATGACAAAAAAAAAGAAAGATAAGAGAAAACAAAGACTCAGAGAGTTTGACTTTTCACTATTAAGAATTACGACTGAGGAAGGGAGATGGAATAATAAATTATTGGTTTTAAGGATTTTATAGATCTTAAGTTTCGAGATTTGCGACTCGATTAAATATTTAAACTTGTAAGATCAGCTTAGAGTATTAATAAAAATAAAAGAAAGAAAAACAAAGAAAAAAGAAGAAGCTTATTACATATTGACTGGAGTTTACGTGAGATATGCACCGTAGGAATCGAATTTTATTCGCAATTTATCGAGAATAAGATTTTTTCTTTGATTTTAGATTTTAAGTGTTTATTTATTCCACGAAAAAAATAAAACTAAAACAGAGATTTTTAATTAGAAATATAAATGATCCGAGATTTTGTTATCTGACTATTCTTTTTTAATGAGTGTAAACATTGAGTAATCAACTCAACATATTTGTTTAATAGACTTAAAACATGGCACTATTTTTTATTGGTCAACTAAAAGTATAGTTTTCAGTGGGAATAAATCATGGCTAAATTGCATGGCAGGGCATAAGACCATGTTTTAATTTCATGTTTTGGCAAAGTGAGAATTGGTTTTCAAGTTTTGACAATTTAGCCAAAATCTGACTATTTTACCCCTGTCAGCGTAACGATGTACTGTTCACTGTACGGTTCAGTTATGCGGTTCAGTTACGTACACTGTTTCGGTTAGGCAATATATTTTCATTTTTAATTGATTTCTGCGGCTGTACAGTGAAAAATGGGGATTACTAACATTAAAAAACAATTAGACATGAGGATTTAATGCCCAAAAAGTTTAGACATGACTCATGTCACAATTAATGCAAAAGTCATCATTACTTTTTCTAATATTAGTTTATATGTGTGAATAGTTGTAAGAGATAAACATGATCCATCAAACAAACAAATTAGTCTGAACGAATGTGATGCTGGAGAAGTTTTGATCTTCTTGATTTACAAAGTTTGGAGCCAAGACAAGCATTGATCGTGTAAGTAATGAAATTGGTTAAGAAGTTTTTTTTTATAACACACTAGGGTCTTGATTGTGTTCGAAATCAACATTGTTTTTATATAAAAACCCAGAATATTTTTATTTCCAATTTTTTTAGTTGAAAATGCTAAATGAGGATAGATTTATGTATATAAGTGTGTAGTTGGGAATTCTTTTTGTTTTTTTGTAGATATAATCATGCTTTCATTTTCATTTAATGGGATTCTGCTGAATTTATGATGCAGGTGGGTAATGGATATTCCCGTATTTACTATGGTGGGTGAGTGGAGATGCAAAGAAGAAGAATGGAAATTTGAACCATGGGAAGGCTGGTTTGGTCGTTGTGTACGTGTTAAGGAAAACATGATGTACACGGAATTTGTACGTACATTATGCGAGGTTTTCAGTTTGAAGTCCACCGAATGCAATCCAATAATTAGTTACTGGATGCCGGGAAAGATGTCAGTGATGATAGAAAGTAAACGCCCTCCTTTCTACATTGACAATTAAATGAGCCTGGATACGTTCTTTTTGATTCGTGGTGGGGATCCTAGTGTCAACTTGTTTGTCTCTTTCATTACAACCGTCAAGGCACTCGGGAATAATGTCCCTAGGACTGATGGTGACGATGCTGAAAGTGACCGTGTGTGTGGGAGTGCAAAGACACCAAATCCTATCTTAGCGGCTTCAAATGTGGATGCAAATAATGAGGCCGTAGATGAACAAGACGACGTACAAGAAGATAAAACAGATGAGGATGAAGAGGAGGAGGACACCGAAGATGGTGATGGGTATGATGATCATCAGGGCGACGATGGATTTTTTAGTTGAGGAAGAAAAGTATGGTAGATATGTACGTGTTAAAGAAAATATGACGTACACGAATCTGACGTGTACGTTATGTGTGGTGTTTAGCTTGAAGTCTACTAAATTTCATCCAAAAATTAATTACTGGATACTGGTAATAATGTCGATGATGATTGAACATAAACGCCCCTATGTCTACATTGACAATCAAATGAGGTTGGATACATTTTATTTTATTCTTAGTGGAGATTCAAGTGTAAATATATTTGTGTCCTTTTAACCAACACTTCGAGAAAGGTGTGAATAGTGTTTGAATGTAGAAAGCCAACATTGATGAAACCAATCATTGGTTAGAGGTGAAAACACAACAAAAACCATATCGGAGGCTCCAAATGTGAAAAAAACAATAAGAACGTAGACGAGAAAGAAGAAGTAGATGACAATAAAGATGTTGAAAAGAATGATAAAATGACGAAAAAGAGGAGACGAAAAAGAGGAGGATGGGGATGAGGAGGACGACGAAAACGTCGATGAAGATGACGAGGACAATGACGGATCAAGTGGATGGGAAGAATGTCTTAGAACCGACTATAGACGCTAATAATGAAGATTGCGATTATAACAAGTGGACTGATTTTGTTATTGATAAATATTCAATAGGACATATCGGGAAAATGGTAACACCATCCGACTATGAAACTAATAGGGAAATTCATATCATATACTAGAAACGTGTACGTACACTACTGAACATGTATGTGATAGAAAAAGCATCGATGATTTAAAAAGATGGTGACATTCAACCATCTTTTAGTCCTAACTGGGAGATATGACATGATTTGGAAGATTGTAAGTACACTAATTACTGTGTAGACGAGGCATTATATGAAGGTGAATATTTGACCTACACGAATACATATGGACATGGTAGAGGTGAAATGCATGGTAATGGTTTGGTATTGGAGGATCATCAAAGGGGATATTACTTGAATCAAAGTACAGTTTAGTGAATGTGAATGAGTCTTACGAAGTGTATAATTGTTTTTCTACAATGCTAAGCACTAAGCCGAAGAGACTCGATGATGATTTTTCTCTTTTCTTCGACAATTTAACCAATGTCTAACTGATAAGAAAGAAGTAAAATAGTACAATATGGAAAGACAATTTTTTGCGGGAAATCCCTATACTCTAAATACCCGGTACCAAATGAGTCCCATGGAAACCAAACCGAATATCTTAATGCTTAGGGCTAGTATGAATTATCATGATGACTATGTATGTTAAGGACGATACAAATATCATTGTTAAGACAATGTACTAGCGTAAATAGGTGCATACACATGCATATTAGGAAAGTTAACGTACACAAGTACATCCATTGGAGACTATGTACGTAAACATGTAATACTATGTACGTGAGAAACGAGGTAGTGATCATGACAGAGAGAATGGTGTTATTACCACCAAGTGTAGCGTCTTGCCAGGAGAGAAGTAAAACTATCACAAACAAGTGAGATTGGAACATTCTTTTTATTCATATTAGCAATTTTAGTGTAAATTGTATCGTTTTTTCCAACCCGTTAAGGATAGTGTGAATAGTGTGTGCATGATGAATAGCATTGCTGATGAAACTAACCATGGGTCAGAGGTGGAAACAATGAAGAAGTAGATGAGGAAGAAAAAATAGAGGGCGATAAAGAGGATGAAAAGAAAGAAGATGAGGATGACGAAGAGAAGAAAGAGGACGATAAAGATGACGACTATGAACAATAGTAAAGGTAATGGCGAAAATTACATTACAACAAGTGGACTGATTTTTTTGTTGAGAAATATGGGATAAGATATGTCAGGAATGTTGGTGACACTCAACTTACTGTGAGGCTAGCATAAAAATTCAGTTGATTATTAGAAACGTGTACGTATATTAATTAACGTGTACGTGATTTATAAAGCATCATTGGTTTATGTAATTAAAGTTGATTATTCGACACATGTACGTACACATAAGAAATTCGCTGAAGGGTATAATTGTAATTGTGTAGTCATCTTCCACCTGAGTATTATCTACTTCTGCAACCCTAAATTTACAGCCGTCATTAATCTTCCACCTGAGTATCTACTTCGTCGTTTGTTTTTTTCCCAGCCATCTCAAAGGTTGCTATCTCGCCGGAGGTTTCTTAGTTCCTCTTCGCCGGAAAACCTACAACTTTCTCTTCGCCGGTTTTTGGAGTTCAATGTGATGCCTCAAATCAAGTAGCCGCAATTCGAACGGGGATGTCGAAAACGAATATGGATGAATGAATTCAGAACTGATTTCTACTTCTCTCTCGAATCTCTCCGTCTCTCTGTCGTTGTTCTTCTTCGTTTTCTTGAAAATCGCAAAGTAACTGTATCGTTTGGTTTAACTCCTTAGGGCATTTTCGTCATAAATTGGCTTAAATGTCAAAACGTGAGAAGCAAATCTCACTTTGCCAAACGGTGAGAACAAATCTTTTTTTCAACACAAACGTGAAAATTTCTTATAAATCAAACCCATGAAAAAACGAATTAATGACACATCCCTGAACCTTTTACTATTACGCCACCACCACTATAGAGGTTCGCAGATCTAAACCTAACAAAGATTATCGCGTTAACAAACTCAAGCTTTTTCTGTAAGACTGTAGCAATCATAAAAGAGTGTATTATGATACATGGTTTGAATGGTTCATTCACTACAGGAAAAATAATTATTAGTAACACCATAAAAACGCTATCTAATGTTATGATAGCGTTATTAAAAACGCTATCTCATCGCCCGCGACAATAGGTCGGCGACTTTAGATAGCACTTTTGGTATATGCTATCTAAATTAAAATATTAATAGCGGATTTATCTCTGCTATCGTATATTCTATAATAACATTTCAATTTTGTTATCAAATCTATTATTCATAATATGTGGTTTTGAATTTTGCATATTGAATTTTATTAATAGGAGCTCTAATTTAATTTACAAACACCCAAAACAATCGATAATAATAATAATAATTTTTATTAAGAGACCAAAAGGATTTGTATTTAATGAAGAACAACAATACATATCACAATTTTTTTCTACTTAGAAACTTCTAAAGATACATATATTCACCAAGGCGTATTCACAATCTTGATTCTTCCAACTCCAGTTGACTACAACACGGCACATAACTATTGCATAAAACGAATCCTGTAAAACTAATTCATCACATATGGACAAGGATAAAATCAAAAGCAGAAACAGAACAGCTAAGAACAGCCATCGAGGTTAAGAGAGTGTGTATATACCCAAAACAGATCAAACAAGAGAGTGTGAACTTATCACCAACAGCCAATTGATAAACCTTTGTTTTAACCTATAAATGCATAAACATTTCCAAGTTGTGGCTCGTAGCTTGAAAGCGAGTAACTGTAACAACAAACACACACATTCCCACAACAAAAATCATTGTAGGTTTAAGAGAAAGCCACCTAATCTGAAGACAAAACAAAACTTCGCGAGACTAAAAACTTAAAATGTTGAGATTTTTCCACAAAACTCAGACCAAAAAAAGATAACCGTAAGAACTCATTAATTAATACATAAACAAACGTTGATTGAAGCCATAAGAAAGCTCTAGAAATCGTGAGTGAGGTTAATAAAGTATATACCTTAATCAAACTTTTTGCCATCAGGGTCTAGCTTGTCGAAAATGAAAATATCCTTTAATAAAATGATATTGCTCGCCACCTGCAAACACGGAAATCCACTAATTACTAGCTCCTTCTCCATACTCAAGGCTAGCCCTGCAAGTAAATAAAAATTACAATTTGACTATATATATAATCACTGTAATTATAAGACATCAATGGAAATAACATTGCAAATTCATACCTTGGAAGCCAACAGGGCCGGCCCAAGGCTAAAGCCCGTAAAGCATGGGCTTTAGGCATCAGATATCTATAAAACGATTTAAGGGCATCATTTTACAGATATTTATTGTGGTAGAGTGGTTATCACCTTCAGTCTCTTCTTAGATCTGCCGAGTTCGAACCTACTCAGTGTACTTTTTATAGAAATTTTTTTTAATTGTATTTAATGATGGGCCAACTCATTTTCCCTTGGGCCGGCCCTGGAAGCCAAACCCAAGTTTTGTCCATCTTACAACAATAACACCACAGCTCGACCACCAATTATACATACATTTTTGAAAGATGTTTGATCAAAAACTCAAATCACACCAAACGCAAGGATCAAATAAATATAGAAATGGAACCAATTACCTACACAATAAAAAGAATATGCCAAGGATCTTAAAACACGAATCTGCAAAAAGAAAATGACTAAATCATTTAGAGACAACAAAGATAAATTAACAGAGACACGAATCTGCTTAAGGATTGCAAAATCACTAAACCAGACTATGCTAATACCTGATAGTCCTTTGTCTATGCAAAATCGACATGTAGAAACAATCAAATACTTGAATTAAAGACAAAAAAAAACAAAGACATGAACCAAACAAAAAACAAGACATCGTTCAAGAACATGAAACAAGACATCGTTCAAAACAAGATTGTTCGTTGTCAGTTTTTTAGCTCTCGCGCTGAATTTGAGCTACCAAGAACATGAAATCAAATTAAACACAGAAAATTTACCAACCTAAACCCTAAAATCGAAAACCCAAATCGAAACTAGAGAAATATCGAGGAAGCCCTAAAGATTGAACTCAATGAAACCCCAAATTGAAGAAAAACCCTAAAGATTAAACTCAATGAAACCCCAAATTGAAATAATATACCTTCAACTGGACAACAACGAAATAGCTGCTGGGATTTGTGCTTGACAGAGTCAGATTACAAGGAGAGAGCAAGAGTGAACAAGAATGCAAGAGAGTCATCGAAACAGTCTCAGACTTGAGAAGAACAAATTTCGAAGAACAATAGCTAATCAAGCCAAAGGAGACGAAAGTCTCGTATTTTGGAAAGAAGAAATTTTTGAAGAACAGTAGCTAGTCGAGCCAAAGGGGATAGATGAAAAGACTTAGTAAAATTTTCTTTTTCGAGCCAAAGGGGGAGAACAATTTTTAGGTCAATTGTCTTCTTTTTGGAGCCTAAAATAATTGGACTTCCCGCTTTTCATACCGTAGCGTTTTCATTTGGTTTCTGCAATTAAAAAACTAGAGACAAACAAAACTTTTATTACTCGGAGTTACGGTTTATCAATAAAAACCTATCGTAGCGTTTTAACTTTTGTAAACGCTATCAAAAAATCACGGGTAAGTCAATAATAGCATAAGTACATAAAACGCTATAGGTCAGTGCTATTAAAAATGGGAAAAATGTCAAAAAATTTGCGAACTTTCAAATTTGGGACGAAAAAAACATGAACTTTCGAAATGTCATTTAAATCATGTAGTTTAGGCTGACTTTTTGACAAAATAGTGAAGTTTAGTTTGACTTGGCCATTTCGGGCATCCCGTTAAATTTCCGTTAGATTTCTCTGTTGAGTCAAAACGACGTCGTTTTGAAACTCTGAAACGACGTCGTTTCATTAGAAAATAATATGGAAAAACTGCATCTGTCAGGTATTGAACAGCTGACCTACTGGACTAATGAGAGGTGCTCAACCGTTGCACTACGATAACATTTTGGTATTGTACAAATACCGAACATATATATACTAACAAAAAACTATGTACAATTAATTAAAACAATATACAATTTATTAACAAAAACAAAACTAAAAAGCAATAACCAAACATATACAAATATTAAATATACTTCCATAAATTTATATTTTGAAATTTTTAAATATTTAATTTTATATATAAAGATTTCTTCTTTATTTGGAAAATTGGTTTTTTTCCTAAATTATAAAAAAAAAACAAAAATGAAACTTATAGAATATAGTAAATTAAATATATGACATAAAATTTATACAATCTTTCTCACATAAATATAAAATTTATATAATTCTTTTCACATAAATATAGGATTAAAGATTGTATAAATTATAGGATTATAGGATTGTAAAAATTTCAAAATATATATTTATGGAAGTATATTTAATATTTGTATATGTTTGGTTATTGTTTTTTAGTTTTGTTTTTGTTAATAAATTGTATATTGTTTGAATTAATTGTATATAGTTATTTGTTAGTATATATATGTTCGGTTTGGTACAATACCAAAATGTTATCGTAGCGCAACGGTTGAGAACCTCTCATTAGTCCAGTAGGTCAGCTGTTCGATTCCTGACAGATACAGTTTTTCCATCTTATTACGTCTGGTTAACGGAAATTTAACGGGATGCCCGAAATGGCCAAGTCAAACTAAACTTCACTATTTTGTCAAAAAGTCAACCTAAACTTCATGATTTAAATGACATTTCGAATGTTCATGCTTTTTTCGTCCCAAATTTGAAAGTTCGCGAATTTTTTGACATTTTTCCCTATTAAAAACTAACATTCTTGTAGTGATTGGTTAACGCCGGTTATCTGATGATTGGTTTAATATGATTATGAGAAATGTATATATAAGCTTAAGTATATTTTAGTTTTGGTTAAGCTTTGTAACAAACATTTACATGTTAATAAAGATTCTGTTAGATCTAAATTTGAGCTCTCCTTCGTTCTCTTCTCCGGCTTAATATTTCCGGTGTATCGGACTTCAATAGAGTGAAAGAGTAAGGCAAACAAAAAAGAGAAAGAATTATGAAACAATTTTTTTTCATTAATTGTTAAACTATACACTTGTTTTCTTTATACTGTATATATGTATATACTATGCTAACATAAGCTTAAGTTTTTACCAAAAAAAACATAAGCTTAACTACATATGCTAACATTAACCAAAGAGTAAAATACTCATGATACATATATATATTTTTTTCGTGTAATTTAAACAAAAAAACTTTTTTTTGTGTGTCCTCTAAACCCGAATTCCGTTCCCCTGGGTTCTCGATTTTTTGTTTGCTTTACTCCAATATATTTTATGGGTTTCAAAATCTCCTTCTCTACCATTATCAAATTCTCATTAAAATTTTTAGAGATTTTTTCCCATTTATCGAAAGAAACTTATAAAATTTTAACTGAGCAGGAGACCTAAACTTTCGAAAATAGTTTGGGATAAAATAGGATATACAGTAGATCCATTAACAAATGAGTTAATTACGGCCTATGGACTTTTTTTTATGGCATTTGGGTCACAAGCCATTTATCTGATTGTCTTTTAGATTTGCCACTTATATACTACTTAAAATTACATTTTTACTCTAGCGAAACCAAAGAAGAAAAAAAATCTGCATTTTTTCTTTTTTTTTTTTAATTACATTCTACCTCCACCAAGCTTCTCTCTCTTCTCGTGCAGTCTCTTTTTCATAAAAAGCCATTGATTACAGTGATAATACATACAAGCGTCTCAATTTTTAATTTCAGATCTTACAATCCATAAAGAAGTTCCGATTCTCGTTTCTCATTCGTGATCTTCAACAGAAATTATCAGATTTTACACTGAATTTTGTCTTCCCGAATCAGAATTCTCTGATTAAATCCACTTTTCTGTATTAGGAGACAGTATATTTACGCTTTAACTCTGCTAATTTATCCATGTTCTATCTGTTGGCCCTGCTTTTTCTTTCTATTTGGGTTTAGTATGCTGTTGGATCTAGGGTTTAGTTTTAATAAATTTGGATTCATATGTAAAAAAAAAAAAAAAACTTGGTTCATACGATCAATCAAACAATTTATTGTAGGGCAAAAACATTATTTCGCATTGCTGGATAATGGCAAATCTAAAAACCCATCAACTAAATGGCAAAAATCAAAAATGGTAGCCCAAAAGGGACAACTCTTGTAATAATCCCAGAAAAACAGAGGAATAAAGTTTCAAAGTGTTGACCAACAATGTTTAAGTCGTTTAAATTTAACCGAATAAGGAAAACAAAACCTGGGCTCGAATTCCAGCAGGGAAAAACTAAGAGATCTAGCACATTTTTCCCAAAACTTTCCAAATGTACCACATTTGGAACTGTCTTTCCAATCCTACCACATTTGGTCCGTGGAGTTACGATTTTATCCTCCTTTGTTGGGGCAGTTTTCGCGCTCCATGATGCAACGATTTGACTTCTCTTAACTGTTTTGCTTTCCTATTTATCTCTCACCCCTCGAGACACGTGCGCTTTAACAAAGAAGCATTATCTCTCATGAGACTAAACTATTAACCTTCGTTTTTGTCTCGAGATCTTGTCTTCGATTGAAAATTCTCTGTTTTGTCTAGATCTTGTCCCCGATTTCATTATCCTGCTCTATTATCATGAATCTCACATCTTGTCCACCAATTGTTCTTGTTTAAAAGTTTTGAATTTTATATAGATTTCACATCATCTATTTTGGTCCACAGATCTAATTCTGGATTTCTTCTCATATGAACTTGTCTCCGATCTAATTCTATTACTCATTTGATCTGAATTTGTCCTCGATCTAATTCTATTACTCATTCGATCTGAACTTGTCCCCGATCTAATTATATTACTCATTCCATATGAACTTGTCACCGATATAATTATATTACTCATTCGATCTGAACTTGTCCCTGATCTAATTCTATTACTCATTCCATATGAACTTGTCCCTAATCTACTTCTATTACTTATTCGATTTTGAATTTGTCATTTATCTAATTCTATTACTCATTCGATCTAAACTTGTCCCCGATATAATTTTATTACTCATTCGATATGAACTTGTCTTGATCTAGTTCTATTACCCATTTGAAAACAGTTTATCAATTATATAGTTTTGGTCCACGACATTAAATCGGCTCACATTTAGATCTGGGTTTCTTCTCATATGAACGTGTCTCTGATCTAATTCTATTACTCATTTGATCTGAACTTGTCCTCTATCTAATTCTGGTACTCATTCGATTTACTCATTCAAAATCTAAATCTGGGTTTGAAAATAGTTTATCAATTATATAATTTTGGTCCACGATGTTAAATCGGCTACACATTTAGATCTGGGTTTCTTCTCATATGAACTTGTCTCCGATCTAATTCTATTACTCATTTGATCTGAACTTGTCCTCGATCTAATTCTGGTACTCATTCGATATGAACTTTTCCCCGATCTAATTATATTACTCATTCCATATGAACTTGTCCCCGATTTTAATTTAATATTATCTAATATATTAAGAGAATAATTGTAAACGTGCAACATTAAATGCAGACTGCTTCCTCTTGTCCAAGTTGTCCCTTTCTCTGACACACACTTTTCTCTCCATCAAGGGTAATTTCGTCCGGCTTTAGGCATGTTGTAACAAAATATGGTACATTTGGAAAGCTTTTCTCAAATGTGGTAGATTTGGAATGCCATCTTTCGAAATGTGGTAGATTTGGAAAGATTACCTTCGAGCAGCCACACATACTTACACTTTTTAAAACATTTATACTATTTTATTTTCTAACATTTGAATAAGGCCTCTTAAAGAGCCCCCGAATACTCAAAGAGGCCCAACATTTCTTCTTTACTTCTTCTGTATGAACATTTTTATTAGTCTTCACATACAAATTGGTATTGGTATAACCGGTTAACCACAATGCCTTATTACAGGAACACAAAAAAAAAAAAGAGAAGATAAACCAAAAAAAGTAAACGTTTCCTTCTTTCACACGCCATTTGTTGTTATCAATGGTAAAATATTATCATTTATACAAAGAACGTATTTTGCAAGAGATCTCATGCAAGTTAACATGGCTTGAAGGGTTCTCCGATTGCAGAACCTCCTTAACCATCTCCTCAATCTCTCTTGTCTCTTTCCCAATTCTCTCCACACAAAACCCTAATGCACTCAAACTCAACACAACCTCACTCTTGTCCACTTTAACCTCTTCTTCTCCACCTTCTTCCACACGGAATATTCCATCCGCAACGCTTCTACAATGCTGGAGATACGTTTCTAATATCTTCTCCGGTTCGCTCACCGCGGTTGAGAAGCTAGGGTTTGGTGTCTTTCCGAGCTCAATGTCCCATGAGGTGTTGTCGCTCTTTGCAAGCGCCTTTCCGAGGGCGTCTAGTGATTTGAGCAAAGTGATTTCCTCGAATGATTTGGCTAAAAGAGCTATGCT